TTTGTTTTTTATTCAAAAAATTAGAAAATTAAGATTGGTATATTCGAGCTCTCACAAGGCTTGTGAATTAAAAACCCCCTTTTCCTCATATAATACTAGCATATCACCCGTGCTATGCACGGACTGTGTTTACAATTATCTATATATGTGAATTGTGATTTTTATTTTTTTTTTTAAATGTCTTCTTTTTTTCCTTTTTTATATTATATTAAAGTTTAATATTTTGATAATAATCATATGTGTTGGACTTTTTAAGAAATTAAATGTTTTTTTTATTATATTATATTAAAGTTTAATATTTTGATAATAATCATATGTGTTGAACTTTTCAAGAATTTTTTTTATGCTTGATTTTAATACATTAAAATGTTATTATGAGGGATAATAATCATATGTGTTGGGACTTTTCAAGAAATTCATAAGTGTTGGATTTCAAAGAATTTGTTTTATGCTTGTTCTTAATGCATTAAAGTGCTATTATGAGGGTAATACTTAGGAGTTGGGAGAAGTTAATAAATGCTAAGATTTTTTTTTTTAAATAAAAAAAGCAGGAAATTTAGATTGGGGATTGGAGCTCCCACAAGGCTTGGGGTTAAAAACCCTCTTTTACTTAATATATAGTATAGATATAGATAGATAGATAGATTATTATGGTTGAGCATTTTGCTATTTTGCGGTTTTTTTTTTTTTTTTGGAACCAAATTCTTTGGTTACATAGAGAGTCTGTATATGCAATTAATACACACTTTGCAATCTATATATATAAGGAAAATGGTGTTTCTAATGACAAGGTTTGTGGGAGCTCTAAATCATCAAGTTAAATTTTATGATCTTATGATTTTTAAATAATAAAAAACATTCTATTGGTTAAGCTCTTATTTAATCATAACAATAAAATTCTAATTATTCTATAAATTACGATTTTTAAAAAGAAAGTATTCTTAATTATTTCAAAATTTAAATTTGTGTGCTACTATATATGGAAGCAATTCACTAAAATCTATTTTTTTTTTTTAAAAAAAAAGTCTATTGGTTAACTCTAATTTAACTATAACAATTAAACTTTAATTATTCCATAAATTACGACTTCTAAAAGGAAAATATGCTCAATTATTTTAAAATTTAAATTTATGTGTCACTAATATAGAAGCAATTCACTAAAATCTAATTATAATCATAAAAAAAAACTTTAATTATTCCATAATTTATGATTTTTAAATATATATATTTTTCTATTTCAAGATTTAAAATTATGTGTCATTAAATATGATAAAAAATTTAACTGAATCTAAAATTTATAAAAAAAAAAACTTTCAAATGGTCATGTTATCTATGCTATAACTAATATAGAAATCTTTTTCAAAATTTATAATAATACTTCTTTTAAAATTCAATATAGTAAGCTTTTAAAATTACATTTTTTATTTATTTCCAAACTCACATACTAAGTTAATTTTTATTTATTATTAAAAAAATTTTAAAAAAAATCTACTGGGTAACACTTTCTCAACAATAAAAATATAACTATCTAATGATTTATGAAATTTGAAAGGAAAGTATACTAACCCATTTCAAAATTCAAAAGTGTGCCATATAACTATTAATAAAAAAAATCTAATTTTCTCATAATTTATGAATTTTAAAAAGAAAGAAGACTAAATCAATTTTAAAATTGTGTATCAGAAATTATGGGAAGCAATTCACATCTCCCATAAATCTTCTCTCTTGCACTTATTGGATTCGAGTCAAATTAGAGTCGGTATTCATGAAGTATTGTAACTGTTAGTGATTGAGCAATTGTGAAGAATTCAATTGATAAATTTTTTCATTGTAAGTTTATGCTTTTTTATAAAGATCAATTTCTAATCTTTAGCCTCCCACATCCTTATTTCTATTATGTATCCAACAATTATGTTAATTTCTAAAAATTTATTGTGTGTGGGTGAAAATCTGACCACACTGCCTGCTTAGTGATCAACTGGAGAGCACAGGCAGAATAGATGGCTTCAGTAACCTGTAACAGAAAGAAAAGGCTCCGGCGGTGGTTCTTCCACCCGGGGGCACTCCGACGATCAAGTCAGTTTATCTCTCAAAGATAATCAAGTACTAAACTTAATACTCAAAACATAAATTGCATACCTTAGACCCACGGGGGTGCCTCTCTTTTATAATCTATTCAATCCAAGTCCTACTAGAAGTATGACTTCTATGAACTCCAATTCAGTGCTTACTTTGGACTTCTTAAGAGATAAAGATAAACTCCTTAAGAGCTTTATCCTTATCTTGGTTAAGTCCCCTCTTCGTCTTAGGACTCTTGTCCTTTATTCGCTTATCTCGGATTCCGATATCTTCGAAAATAACCTCGGCAACTCCGAGATCACCTCGGCTTAACTACCACGACACGTGGCACATCGGCTGACACATCGGCGTCACCATGCCACGTGTTGGTATTCAGAAAATATATCCCTACATATTGCACGCTTATTTAATCTAAGTATATTTTATAAAATAAATCTCCAATCTCTTCGGTTAAGGTCAATGGTTTAAAATCTATATTTATCAAGTACATAAATATGAATGACAGAGGCTATTGAGAAAATGTACATATTTATTAACAAATTTTCATTGTAAGTTTCTTCCTCTTTTGGATGATGCATATGATTATAATATTACTTATGAATTTATGTTTTGTAATTTTCACGATTTCATATTTCAAAATTTTTAGAAGGTTTGCTTTTAATTTTTAGATTTTATAGTTGGTGCACTTTTTCTTAAATGATGTTACACTTATTATATTTTTATATTATATTGTGTGACTAAGATATTTCGTTGTAATTTTAAATTATAATTTGTTTGATATTTTTATAGTTTATTTGGCTAAAAAATAGAGGTTTTTTAAACTACAATTTGTAACTTCTTCTTCTTCTTCTTCCTCTTCTTCCTTTTTATTTTTTTTTTTGTTTTTTGTTTTTTGTTTTTTAAACTTATTTGAAATCCTTACATACGTATGAATATAAGAGCTTCATATCTTTCGTCATAATAATAACTTTTGAGGCATTATGTATATTTAAACAATAAAAATGTTATATAGATTATCAAAAGTTACATTGCATCAAATAAATTTACAACTTATTTATTTAAAAAAATACAAGATGCATTTAGATTAGGGCCTAAGTTACATAAGCTTAATAATGACCGTGAACATGGTGCACTAACATGTGGATAGTTTTCCTAAACAAATATTTGCCAAAATTTTGAATGAGAAAATTTTGTTTAAAAAATAGGTTGATGATTAGATTTAAAGCATATTTGATAAAACTTAATTATTGATTTTGTAATGCTAAAAGTTTTAATAAGTATAAAATTTTAAAATTACATAAACTTATTCATAAATTTTAAATGTGAAAAATGCTTGAAGTATTTGAAAATATTAAATTTATTCATAAATATTAAATTTTGAAATGCTAGAAGAACTATTTGATTAAGTATAGAATTTTTTTAAAATATAAATGGTTTATTAATAAAGTTATTTCATACATATTTATAATGTATCATGTCTATTTTATTTTTTTAATGTTGGTGATTAACTCATAAAAATTTATAAAATAATTATTTGAAATGTGGATTATGCATAAATTTATTAACAATGAAAAAAAAAAATTATAAATTTACATATAGTACATGCATTATCTTTTATTTGAACCATGCTTACTATAAGCCAAGTAGTCATTTTGGCTCAAGTTACCTACTGAATAAATATTGAGATTTAGGTACTAGCTATAAAAATGGTCTATGTGGAGTTCAAATTAAGAAAATGGTCATAGGGTTTGCAAAATGTTCAGTTGGTCTAACTTCTAAAATATTAGTAAATATAATTAACTAATATTTAATGAGAATGTTTTAGAGGTTATACTTAGCAGCCTAACAGGATCGAAATAATCGAAATCTTATTTGAGGAGTGAGTCGAAGATTGGGGTCACTGATACTCTATTTTTTTTTTCTTTTTTTTTATTCTTCAATTTTGATTTATTGATAAGGTAATTGATTTTACATAATAGATATGAGATAATTAATAAATTGAAAAACTAAAATTACGAAATTCATCAAGACAAAATATATTTATATTTTATTGTAAATATAATTATTATACGGGAACTAATTAATGTTAAATAAATTTATTTTATATTATAAATAAAGTTTTTGTTATAATTTAATTTTAAAAATAATTTTTAATTATTTATTTTAACCCGTGCATGGCACGGGTATCATACTAGTTCCTCATAGAGGAAAAATTATTAAATATTTTAGGACGTTGTTCAATAGTCTTAGAAATTAGGGAAAATTACATTTCAATAGAGCAGTGAAAATAATAATTGAGTGTCTCATTTATTTGTAATGTAATTATTTTGTGACCGTCCCATCTATTTGCAATTGAGTAATATTACAAACTCAAAAAAATTTACCCAGAAATTATCCAAAAATATCAATGTGTGGTTTAAATTCATTCTGCACATAAATCTTATAATGCACATTTTCAATTTTCGCTACATACCCTATTCTTGACCCAAATCTAAAGTCAGATGTTTGCAATTTCCCCTAGAAATTAAATTTTCATGTAGGACCACACACAACTCATGCAATGTTACTATGGACAATTTCAATATATTGGAACAGATGTCACTATCACTATGTGACTTTGGGAATTAACAAAAAATCATAAATAGAGATAAATTTTTATGATCATTTTTCTTGCCGTTTCTCCCTCTTAAAATGATTACTAATGTGGATTTACCACTTCATGAGAGACGGTGGATAATAAAATTAGTGTTGATAACATTATTGTAATTTGATAGATTTTCTCATGCATGGTACCACTTTGTTGAGTCATACTTGGTTGGGTTTGTGTCATCTTCTCCCTAGAAAGAGAGCGCTCTCTCTCACTGAGGTTGGGTAGCCTTAGCCTATATATACCTTGTCCATTTGCAGGAATTAGAAGCTTTTGCATTGGGTACAAGTTTCTATACTAAAACACTTGATTCCAAAACAATTAGTGAGAGGTACTTATTTTCCTTCTTCAATTTGAGCAGAAGGCTAATTTCCAAAATTTGAATCTTCTTTGAGTTTTCTTTCAAAGTGAGGGCAATTTCTTTTTAACTTTTTTTTTAAATTTTTTTTTATTATTATTAACTTTGAATTTTGAAACCCTTTCTTCCATGGGGATTAAGGTTTCAATGTTCGTTTTCTTTTCTTGAATTCTTAACCCAACAACAAACAATCTTCAATTAAATGATATGATGAACTTTGCAGATTATGGCTGACAAGGTTAAGGAAACATAACCATCTGAGATCAAGATGAGAATTCCCCTCAACATTTTCTTTAAGGATGCAAGGTATATATTTATATCCCTTCTCTTTTCTCTATGATGTTTGTTTACCTAGAAATTTTCAGTGGACTGGCAACAGAGTTTGTCTGATTATGATCAGTTACTATTATATGCATGTTATGTGTCTTCATATTTGTTGGTATGTCACCAAACATTTTAGATCATAATTAGTCTTCTCACAGAACTTGTTGGTTCCAACTGTTTTGACACACACAATTCAATTCCCAATTTTCTTTTCCATAGAGTGGCAATTTCTTCTAAGCAAAATCCTCAAGAGAACAGGTTTGTTTCCATTTAATAGCTGTGTTTTAAATACATTTATATTCCATTCTATTTATTTGTAGTGACCTACCAAATTATAAATGATATTCGGTAATCACTGCCTAGAACTTATTTGTGCTACTGTTTTATGTCCTTGATTTACTATATAGATGTAGTGCTAAATGTGATTCAAGACCAAATTATAAATGATAGTCTTTTTAATTTAGCTATGAGCTAAGAATTAGTCTTGTTTAATCGTAATGAGCAGACTTGTTTTCAAAATGGATGAGCTCGGTTTAGATATAACAAGCATTGCACTCCCTGCAGCAATGGCTTTGACAGCCGACCCAATTGCATCTCTGGTTGACACTGCATTCATTGGCCAAATAGGTATGCATCTCCTTCACATCTTGACAATAATTTTCCCCTTATCATTTACATCTTCCACTTTTTTATTTTTTTATTTTATTTTTTCCCAAGTCTTCTCATAAGCGATCATCTAGTTTAGTCTGGATTTGTTGATCTCCATGAATAGGCTTTATCAATTATTTCGCATATCACTAATACATTTGAACCTATTCTAGTTACCGTAGGAGAGATTTTGAGCACACCAGTTATGCTCATAGCTTGCATTTTGTGCTTAGGAAGATCAAAGTAGCCATACAACACAAATCAGATTTTATACTTAAAGAGATCAACATAATTGTACCATAATTTAACTCAGAAACATCCTTCTTGTCCTAGTTGAGAATTCAAATGTTTTATTGTCTGTCTTGTTAATACCTTCTAATGAGTATTATGAACTAAGAAACTTTTTCAACTTAATTGCTTTGAATTACTTCTATTTGTTTTCTGATGGTTGATTTGAGGTCCCAATTTCCAACAAATCATACCCCCTGGAAACTAAACCAAACTAGGGCTTGTGTCCCAATCTGGTCAGCTACATAATCACTTTTCACCATTCTGCTCTATGAGGGCTATATCGTAACTTCTCTAAATACCTATTCTCCTTTGTAATGTAAAATTTTATTTTATTTTTTTTACATTATACAGGTTCGGTGGAACTTGCTGCTGTGGGAGTTTCCATTGCTGTGTTCAATCAAGCATCAAGGATTGTGATATTTCCACTTGTTAGTGTCACAACATCTTTTGTTGCCGAGGAAGATACTCTTGCAACAGCAAGTCCTGAGGTAAAAGAGATTGAAAACTTGGAAATGGGCTTAGCTGCAAATAGCGAAAACAAAAAGTTGATTCCTCAGACTGGTAAGAGGTTCCATCAATATGTCATTAATATTTGTTCAAGTTCTTTGCAGCAACAAATTCTTTTTTTTTTTTTTTTTTTCCCTTCTTCTAAACAATTCAATTCTATGTTCTCCATCAGATCTGGTAGAAAATACATACAAGTCAGAACCACTTACTGATACAGTTAAATCCGGAAATGGAAAAAGGAAAATTCCATCAGCTTCATCAGCGCTCTTTATTGGCAGCATCCTTGGACTTGTCCAAACCATTTTTTTAATTTTAGCAGCAAAACCACTGTTAAATTTTATGGGAGTCAAATCTGTAAGTACTATTGAAGAAGAAGAAGCATTTTCTTCTCTTCGTCTCTACGTGTCCTTAAATATCGCCACTGGTAATGGGCAATAATAGCAGGATGGTTTTCCTCTGCAGGACTCCCCTATGCTACAACCTGCACAACAATACTTGACATTAAGGTCTCTAGGTGCTCCAGCTGTCCTCCTTTCATTGGCCATGCAAGGAGTCTTTCGTGGATTCAAGGACACAAAAACTCCTTTATATGCCACCGGTGCGTAACTGATAATGAGCTTCAATTTTATTTAAACTGAGTTGGATAATCAGCTTATATTTAATCTTTTTTCTCAAGTCATTGAAAGAGAGAAATAATTTTCCACCTTCTTTTGTTGGGTTTTTATTATTTATTTTTTGGCCTAATACAACTTACTGTTTCATCCTTTCCAATTCAGTGGCTGGAGATGCGATGAATATAATTCTGGACCCAATATTTATATTCGTTTTCCGTCTAGGTATCAGTGGTGCAGCCATTGCTCATGTTATATCTCAGTAAGTCAAAATTTTATTGCTCTTCAATGTTGTGTGAGAATTTTCATACATTTGACTTACATTTGAATTGCTATATGTACAGGTACCTAATTTCAATTATACTTTTATGGAGATTATGGCAACAAGTCGATCTTTTACCTCTTAGTTTCAAACATATGCAATTCAGTCGATTTCTTAAAAATGGTGAGCTTTTATTTCAGCAGCCATTTCTTTTCATTACACTTTTACCCTATCTTCCATTGCTTATCTGTTATTGAATTTCAGGTTTTCTATTACTAATGAGGGTCATAGCTGTGACATTCTGCGTGACCCTAGCGGCCTCAATGGCTGCACGTCAGGGAGCGACATCAATGGCCGCCTTTCAAGTGTGTTTGCAAGTTTGGCTAGCTACATCTCTTCTTGCTGATGGATTGGCCGTTGCGGGTCAGGTAAGAAGTGATCTTAAGTTTGTGGATGAAAAAGCTTAAGAATATAGAACCTATCACAAGACAGGACACAACCCACTCACATGAGGTGGGTCGGCCTCACACCAATGTGAGAGGGTTGTGTCCATTCTGTGACTGGTTTATGTGTAAGTAGAACAAATGTTTAACATTGGGAGATGTGTCCTAAAATTGATTCCATTGGAGTTTGGAATATAAATTCCAAATTAGGCCCAATCGAGATCATTTGACTCAATTTCAGAGTAGAACAGTACTGCTTATATTTTATTTTTTTTATTATTATCATTTTTTTTTTTGGTTTCAAGCCATTTCTTTGAATCTACTTGTCTAAAAAACTTATGTATAGTTCACCTTTTTTTAGGCTATACTTGCAAGTGCATTTGCTAAAAAAGACTATGAACAAGCCAGAGCAACTGCATCCCGAGTATTGCAGGTACTTGAACTATCCTTAATTTACAGTCTGAACACAGATTTTTCATCTGATATAATTTTCTCAGAAAGTTTCTTACTAAACAATAAATACCGCAGTTGGGATTGGTTCTTGGTTTTGTGCTGGCCCTTATCCTGGGAGTTGGATTGCAGTTTGGGGCCAAACTATTTACCAATGACGTCAATGTCCTCCACCTCATCAGCGTTGGCATCCCGGTATTTTACCTTAATTTCTTCAAATAGGATTACCAAAATTTCTAATTTTCCTATTCTGTTAAACCAACTTGTATTAAATCTACTCTTTTTTTTTTCTTTTTTTTTTTCCCCTTCACATCAGTTTGTTGCAGCTACTCAACCAATTAATGCCTTGGCCTTTGTTTTCGATGGTGTCAATTTTGGAGCATCCGATTTTGCTTATTCTGCATACTCTATGGTAAGCCAACCAGTCAGCTTCCCCATATCATGTGAAAGTGAGTGAATTTGCAAATCTTGAAATGATTTCCTGACAAAAAAGACATAACAAGAAAAATGTTGTATGAAAAAAAAAACATTTACAGTGATGCATTTCCCTCCCCAATTTTTTTCCTTCTCTTCGTAACAGAATAGAGCTTACATAGTTGGGAAAAGATTTACCCATTTATAAAACAACCAATAACACAGACATATACGGAAATAATCTCTACATGTGAGGCGTGTAAGATTGCATACATCTGACCCTTTTCAAATCCCTCCAAATCCGGCAGTGTCAAGAGCCTTGTGCACTAGGCTACCTTTTTTTGGCTATGCAGACATGACAAGGCATTCAAAATACTCTGTTTGTCCATTTTCTGCATTTGTGTCCTTTAATCAGGCAAATGAATAATATATTTTCATAAAAAAAAAAAACGCAATTTTTTTTCCCCCACAAATTAAATGATCTCAATTAGTTCTTGTAGATAGTCTTCAAAATCTTTCAAAAATAATAAAGTAAAAAATATATACAATCTTTTCAAATGTCTGGAATAGTGAAAACAGACAAACATTTTTCTACCAGCAAACTGCTTTTCAAAATATGAATTTTTTTCCAACAAGATGAAAGAAGGCAAATTGAAAGTAGTTGTCCTATTGAGATTTAAGTGGTGAGTTGGAAATCCCAACATTTTTAGGATCAAATGAAGCATAAATTTGGAATTTTGAGTCACTCTATTTACATTACAAAATGATACAACTAATTAAGGTTCATCTTTATTCAGGTTATGGTGGCTATAGTCAGTATCTTAATTCTGTTTGTTCTTTCCTGGTCTCATGGATTCATTGGAATCTGGGTTGCTCTCACCATCTATATGAGTCTCAGAGCATTTGCTGGTTTTTGGAGGTAATTGCCAACAAGGCTAGATTTCAACTTCTCAATTTCTAGTAATTCTATGTTTCGATGCTTTTTTGCAGGATAGGGACTGGAACAGGACCTTGGGGATTTCTAATGAACTGAATATTGATAGCTTTTTTAGGATTTCCAATGGTTTTACACAGAACTAGGAGTAACTTGTTGCCATGGTTTTCTTTTCATGGAAACTAATTCTCTCAGCTTAAGCAAATTTCTAACTGTGTTGTTTGTTAGTTTGTTGATTGGTTGCTTGAAATATTCACCTTTGTAGGTTTCTTTTGTACAAAAACATTTGAGAACTGTTTCTGATATTCATGAGAGACATAGAGAAAGATATATATATATATATATATATAGAGCAACTTCAGTTTCACTGATGTAGTGTGATTTTAGGGCTGAAGGATTCTCTGTTAAATTTTTATCTATCTGTCTTAATGTAGTCTTAATTTATTGAATTATGTGAGAATTTCAAGTGACATAAATCTCAACATAGAATCTAATAATAAAAGTGCATTAGAAAATGGGGGATAAACAATCTTGTGCTTGATTTTAATATTCATATACTCGAACAATAAAAGAAACATTTATAGGCCTCCGTTTGGGAAGTGGGTTGGCTTTTTGGCTTTTTGGCTATTTTAGCCTAGGCTATTTTAGTCTGGTTTGGGAAGGACTTTTTGGCTTTTTGGCTTTTTTGACTTTTTTTGTGAGAGAGGATTGTAATGATTATGGGTTGGATTTGATGTTTTGTTTTTTGTGGCTAAAATAGCCTATTTTGTTTTTTATGGCTATTTTAGCCAAAAAAGCCTGGGCTTTTCCTTCCCAAACAGAGGCTAAAGATTGGATTTATTAGGGTCTGTTTGGTAATATTTACGTTTTCAGTTTATATTTACAAAAATTTTATAAACTGATTTTTGTTTATTTTCTGTTTATTTTTAGAAAAACATAAACTACAAACGCGTTTGGTAATTGACAAAATGTTTAAAAAAATTTAAAAATATAAAAAAGAGTGAGAAATGGAAAGTGGAGAAAAGTGGCAGCAGAAGACGGTGGTGGAAAGTGGTGACGGTGGATGGTGGGTAGTGGATGGTGGGTAGCGGGTGGCGGTGGGTGGTGGCGGGTGGTGGTGGCAGGTAGGTGGCGGATAGGTGGGAGGCTGGCGGTGGGGTGGTGGCGGCTCAGGGGTGGTGGTGGTGAGGATGGGTGGTGGACGGGTGGCAGTGTGGTGGATGTAGCGAGTGGGTGGTGGTGGTTCGGGCAGGTCAGGTAGCTGAGTGGTGTGGTAGTGGTGCAGGTGCGGTGCGGTTGGGATGGATGGTGTGACAGGTGGGTGTGCGAATGTCGGATGTGCCGTGCGGTGTGGCCGGGTAGTGGTGGTTGCGGTGGATAGTGGGCTGTGACGTAAGCGGGTGGTGTGGTGCGGCAGGTGGGTGGCGGGGGGTGGTGGTCGTGGGGTGGGTGGCAGCGTGGTGGCGGGTGGTGGATATGGTGTGGCAGCGGTAAGTGGTAGTGTGGTGGTGGTAGCGGGCGGTGGATGTAGTGGCGGAGCGGTGGATGGTAGTGGCGGGTGGTTGGTGGTGGCGGCGTGCGGTGGTGAGGTGGCGCCGGTGTGGCAAGAGGTGGCGGTCGTCTGGTGGCGAATAGTGCGTGGCCAAGGGTGGGTGTAGTGGTGGCGAGTGGGTGGCAGGTGGTAGTGTGGCGGCGTGTGTGGGTGGTGGGGCAAGGTGCGGTGATGAGTGTCGGTGGCCAGGTGGTGGTGGGGGGGCGGTGGTGGTGCAGAGGCGGCAAGACGCGTTGAGTGGTAAAAAAAAAAAAAAAAAAAACTCAAAACTTAAAACGGAAACACATTTTTTGAGTTTACATTTTTTGGCCAAATTTATAAACTAAGACCACTGATTTATAAATCAAAAATTGACCAAACAAGTTTTTATTTGAGTTTTTTAAATTTTTATAAATATAAACAGAAAACTGAAAACGTAAGTATTACCAAACGGCACCTTAGAGTATATGAAAACACTTGTTAACAAGCTTACCATGGTCGTACACAAGGGCAAAGTTAGGATTTCAACGTTGGGAGGGTGAAAAGGAGGGTGAGGAAAGGCTCTCTCTGGGTAGATGGTGGGTTGGGTTGGGTTTCAACTGTTTAAATCTACTTGTACGATTAGGGATGTTAAAAAAAAAAAAAAAAAAAAAAAAAAAAAAAAAAAAAAAAAAAAACTGATTAAATTGATTGAGCCGGATTGAACTAGCCTTATTTGATCTGTTTTTTTAATAAAAATTGGTCTGTATTGTTTTTTAATTTGAATTTTTTTAATTTTCGATTTGGTATCAGTTTAAGCATCTTATGTACCAAATTAAACTGAAACCAACCACTTCAATATATATTGTATTATAATTTAATAATACAATGATATTACTAAGTATAATAAATTATTAATTTTAATTAATTAATCATATCATCCTCATAACCTAACTTAGGATACTCGCTCCGTTTGCCAAGGAGATTTGGGGTTATTTTAGTCACAAAAGATAAAATAGGCTATTTTAGACACAACAAACAAAACATCACATCCAATCCATAATCTTACACTCTTCTCTCACAAAAAAAAAAGTTAAAAAAATCAAAAAATAAAAAAGTCCTTCCCAAACCAAGCTTTTTTACCCAGACTAAAATAAGAAAAAAATTCAAAAAGCCAAATCACTTCCCAAGCGGAGGCTCTATGGGTTAAAAGCTAATCGTATCATCCTTATAACCTAATCATATCATACATATGACCCAAAATTAATCGCATCATCCTTGTTAATTGTGTCATCCTTGTAACCTAATTGTATCATCCTTATGATCCAAAATAGGTTAAAAGTTAAAAGTTAACTTTTTTTTTTGGCTTCCCAAATGGCCCCATAATATTAATTCTAATTCACTATTTATGAAATCGTAGTATTTATTATTATTTTTTTGTTTATATTTTTGTTAATCTAAAAATTGTAATGCATATTTATTAAATGGATGGATTGGATATATTTAAAATGATTGACAAATTGCTAATTTAATATTTTTACATAAATGAGTGAGTATACTAAAAAGTAGCTTTAATTTCAAACCACAACGTTTCAATTGGTGTTATTCGGTGCAATTCAATAGGAGAAGTGGTCTGTATAAGTGCTCAAAGTAATAAAACCAACATTATTAATTCGGTATCATACCGAATCAATTACATCATTATTTATGATAAAAACAAAACTTGATTTAAAGATCTTTCTTCTACGTTAGTACAAACAAAAACAGAGCATAATGCCTTCATAAACTAAAAATAAGAAAACTAGGTGCCTGATATTCTGTATTGCAAAATAACATAATATCTTAAGCTTAAAAAAACTCTTACGCTGTGTTTGGTTAGGGAATTTAAGGAGGAATTTGTAAAAAAAAAACAAAAAAAATGCGTAAAATTAGGTAAAATATAAGTATATTTTATTTATATTTCACCTATGTTTTTTATTTTCTCTTTCAAATCTCTCAAATTTTCTAACCAAACACAGTATTAATCAAAAAAAATAAGAATGACAAAGAGAGAGATTAAGAGTATCACACACCCGGTTTTGAATAGTTAATTAAGCGAAGCCTAATTAACTTAAATGTGATTTTTATTGAAAAAATAATTTTGATTTTGATTTACTTACATTACACCCATTTACTAAAGCCAAATGCCAATCAATATTCTAACTTAGCTAAAAATGTCGGTTTTCCTCGTAAAGTGTACCAATTCATAAAACTTGATTAAAATGTCAAGATGATAGGTTTGAGTGAAGAATTGGTCTCCAATACCAGACTTTCACTTTTGAAAAGATTGAACATGTTTAGGATTTGTTTGGAGATACATGAAAAAAGTCACTTTTTGGTTAAAAAAATTAAAAAAATTATTAATTTATTTGTCATGAGTTTAAGAAATTAAATGTCACATCAATTTTTTTACTTTAAAACAAAAAAAAAACTTTTTTAACAATTTCTCAAATTCATTAACTAAAAAACTTAAAAAATTAAAAAAACAATTCTCAAACGTCTATCTGGAAAGATCCAATTATTTTATCAAAATAATTCAATTTTACTATTTCCTTCCTCCCATCAAATTTGTATTTTACTATTTTTTTTTTTTGGTGCTGTTATGGTGTGCAACCCCTTAAGGTTGCACACCATATGCAACCAACACAAATGGTGTAAGTGGAAGGTGTAAACATAAAACAGGACAGCAAATAGAAAGGCGTAAGTGTATGGTGTAAGTTGCACACTTAAGAAAAGTCCTTCTTTTTTTAACCAAAAAGTTGGCTATATGATTGGATCATGCTCACATGTGCACAATGAAATGGCATTCATACAGAGTTGAATTAAGTTATCCGTCATAGCATAGTTTAGGGTAAAATATACTTTGCAAGAAATTTTATTTTGGTTCTTACGCTTAAAATTGTGATGATTAACGGTTAATTTTCTATATTTATGATCAAATATTAATATTTCCTTTTTATTACTCTATTATTTAAGTTTTTAACAAAATTTAATCATATAAGAAGCATATGATTACGAAGTAACTTTCAATGTATATTAAAGTCTCCCAAATGCACGGGACTTCCATATTTCCATTGTGGTGTTTACATAATCATTTGTTCATATGATCATTTATCAAATTTGTATTTAACAAACAATTGTCAAATTTGATGTGTATAAGCCCATAAAGGCCATGAACCACCCACGGCCCATCACTCGAAGCACAGTGATGTGTATAAGCCCACAAAGGCCATGAACCACCCATGGCCCATCACTTGAAGCATAGCGCATAACCCAGCTGACGAGGTCCAGGACAGCTGGAGTCCAACATGACATAAAGAGCCAATGACATTCAGACACACGGCAAGAGAAAGATGAACCACATCAGCAGACAAAGATCTGCAAAGTTATTGACACTGCACATCACCATTAAGGCAGCCCATCACAGCATTTATTACGACAACACCTTTCCGTCGGAACAAGACCCCCTTACCCTGAGCAAGGCGAGCTACAGCATAGGCTTTCGGCAAGGAGAGCAGGTCGGAAGGGACAGCGAAATGATTGCCAAAGGATATAAGCGAACGTTGTAGACAAGGAAAAAGGTTAAGTTCTCTATCTCAAATCCTCTCCCATATACTCTGTTTCTCTTCCTAACTTGTTCGTCGGAGAGTTCGCTGGGGGACTATCCCGTTCCCCGTTGAACTTATTTGTAGGATATCCGGTGGGCTCGATCTTCTCGGCTTGGCCTTGGGGAGCTTGGACCAATCTGATCCATCCACTGGGACAGGAACAGTATCATCAGTTGGCGCCGTCTGTGGGAACGCTTTGCTCCGCACGTC